GTAAATACAGTAAATGCCCCCCGTCAGACAGTGTTTAACCTCCACTGAGTCAGCAGGTCTTAAAAGTTGTCAGTGTTGGGCAAGTAATTAGTTATAGTTACTAGCTACTTCTTCAAGTAATTGAGTTAGTAACTGAGTTACAATATTATACAAGTTACTAATTACTACGAAAAGTAACTATTGCGTTACTTTAAAAAATGTTTATCCGTTTACACTGCTGTCTGCTTATGGTGGCTTTTTGGCAGCGATTGCAGCAGTTACCTCATTGTTCTGACACACAACACAAAACTATCCACAACACTACACACTAACTACACAAGACAAAACATTAACTACACACTCCAAACACGCTAAACGTCACAAATCTCTCACATCTCAAAACTCCCTCCCTCTCTCGCTCTGTCTCTTGCTGCCACCCTTCCTAAAACTTCCCTCAAAAAAAGAATAAAAAAAAAATCTTCCTGAACAACCAATGCCATGTTGCCATGTCGTTTTTTTTTTTGATTGGTCAACACGGTACATTTTTCCACCAATAGGAAAGGGTTTATTGGCTTTTGTTTTTGCTTTCGAGGGCTTTCCTTAGACAACGCAGTTTCTTCCCGTAGTCATTTTTGCTATGTCACTTTAAATTGGTCATGTGATTGGTTTGCCATGATTACTTATTTCTTCCTCAGCCAATCAGCAGCACTTGTGCAATTGTTTTGCCCTCTGGCTCCCAGTAAGCTGAAGACAGCTTCAATCGTATGTGTGTTGAAAAATAGTAACGCATCTGCATCGCATTTTCTTGTTAGTAACGGTACCGGCATTGTAACGATAGAAAGTAATTAGAATTAGATAGTAATGTGTTAGATTACTAATTACTGAAAAAAGTACTGTGTATGTGATAAGTCTCTCATTACAGCTGTTTATGCTGTCCCAACCACAATATTCTTACTCAAAGGTATGTGTGCATGAGTGTGTGTGTTTTAAACCCTCCCCTGTGGTTATGCAATATTGTGTTCTCCCATGCATGCGCGTGTGCCTGTGGTGCTGCTGATTGTGCTTCATGCTGTGCACGTGTCCAACCCATCAAGGTTCACACTGCTCACAATCTTCTACATCCTTTGCTCTCTGCACTGCCATCTCTCCCTTTTTCTATCTCTGCATTCCCCCGTCCACCTCCCCATATGACATTTCTGCCATCATTATAGGATGGCAGAGGGTCGCACTTCCCGTGTGTCAGTTATTGGATTTTAGCAGTGGATCATCAAGTTTTTTGTTTTTGTTTATATTATTTTTTTTTGCTATTGCAAATTGAAACAATCTTACTTCAGAAAGCAACAATTTCTTCCTGGAAAAACTTTGGATTCAACAGAATTTAAGAGCAATTTGAAAACAATACATAAAGGAAAGACTGACTTTGGAGAGCATCCATTCCTACCTGCATTTATTGTACACTTCTTCAAGTAGGTAAGAAAACAAAAGAGGAGGTGGAATGTTGCAATGACAGAAAAATCAATTCTTTAGTTATTAAAAGTCAGGTGAGTGAAATTGTCACTGTGTGCTTAGTCCATGACAACTGGCATCATGCCTATTACACAAATGCAGACCAAACAACCACACAGAGAATTCTTCTCAGCACGCTTTCAGTTTGACTGTGGTGTGGTTTGTCTGAGATGTTAAAGCACAGCAGACAGAATTTGTGCTAGTTCACTTTTAGACTGCATTCCAAAGCCAAAATTATTATGCAGAATTTTTTTTTACCCACGTGGAGCACCCAGAAAAGCAGTCAACTCAGAAATAAAAGCCTCAAACGTTGCAACAACATTAATATATAAAACAAACCAAAAACTAGAAACTAAACTGGGCACTGGAGCCTGGAGACTAAGAAACTTGAGGAAGGAAACCAACCAGGACCAGGAGCTAGAATATTTTCAGGAACATGAGAGGAGAAAACATAGCATGACGCAACAAGCAGGGGAAGACTGAGGACTAAAATACACAGGTAGGATCACGGGAGCATGGGGAACAGCAGGAAACACAGCTGGGACAAATCAAACATAATGAGATGAGGGAAGGCAAAACTAGATACACTGACCAAGCGCACAAGACTGTCAAAGTGAAACAGGAAATACGACACGTACGCACAGACACAGACTCAGAGACATCAGAAACACTATGACATAGCTGACATGGTGACAGAGGGAACATACACCAAGTTCCAAATTATTATGTAAGTGATATTTTCCTCTGATTTTCCTAAATAGTCGATTCAAATGACAGTCAGCATAATTTTTGAGTCATCAACCATTAGAGTATAATTCAAATGTTACTGAACAAACCTCCCAATGATAACAGTGTTTTTCACAAATAAAAATCGTAAAACGCACTGTTCCAAATTATTCCGCACAACAGAGTTTCAAAACATTTTATAGGTTGTAGAGAATTGAAAATGGTCATTTGTTGAATTTGCAGCATCAGAAGATCATATTTACTGAAATCAAAAGCTATTTCAATCAAAAACATCTTAACAGGTCAAGTTACATATTAATATAGAACCGCTTATTTGATAGCAGTTTCACAATTCTTCCACAATGCTTCCCCGTGTTTTTAACACTGCAGGCGTGATTGCGGATGCCATGCAGGTGCGTCCACACGGCACTGCCGACCACGCCTCACCACATCTGTCTTCCTCCAACAGTCCAACGAAATGCATGTGGTCAGGTTAATTGGTCATTTTAAATTGCTGGCAAGTGTGAGTCTTAGCCCAGACTGGCAACCGGTCCTAAATTTGTAAAAGTTTTATCACTACCAATACTAGTGCAGAATTAATGTACAACATATATGTTAAAGGGTTAACTAGGCAACTGGAACCCAGAATTTCCACAACTGACCAACTATCAGCTTAAAATAACCAAATTGCTTCCAGTTTTTGCAGTGTATAGGTTTTATACTTATTTTTGTATAGTAATTCATATTTTCTTTATTTCCTGGGTTCTAAAACTTTGAAGGAGAGTGGCATAAAAATGGCTAGGGTCAGCTTTTTCAATATTGAAATAATCAAAACTGAAATATTCCTACCTGGCAGCATGGTGCAAACAGTAAGAAGGTTCTGAGTTCGACCCTGCCATCTTGCTGTGGCTATCTGCATCTCTGGTATTCTGGCTTCCTCCCACAGTCCAAAGACATGCAGTTACTAGGGTTACAATTGCATTTGTCCCTAACCATCGGGAATCCCCACGTTAACTTTTATCGAGTGGAAAAAAGCTGGCGTTCATCCTCCAGCTTCACTGTGTTTATGGTCTGCTAACATAGCTGCGTTGCTAGTGATCACGTCGACATCATTTTATACCAGCTAGCCCAACTTCAGTAACCCTACAAACGTCATGCTGTTTAGTTTTCTGTCTTCATTTATGTTGGAAGTGACAGCAGAGCTGTACGTTTGAATTTTTCGGAAAACTCTCAGTCAGAACATGCTATATCATGTTTAGGTGGAAGCTAGCGAGCTAACGTCTTGCTAACTCCTAACTCCGTTAAATTTAATAAATTCTGTCTTCATGGTTGCCTGGATGTTAAACTTAATTGTTACAACTGGTAAAGCAGGAACGCTGATCATTTCATTAAAGATGAAAGAATTTAGACAGTTTTTAACTCTCAGTGATGCTGCAGTGTTCGTTTGATGTTGAGACCTGAGGTGAAAGGAGTTTAGGACCCAGATTACTCAGCAAGACCCATGACTACAGTAGCTGTAATGCTCCAGCAATCCATGAAGCGATGCGGCTTTGTAGCTTACCAAAGTCGTACTAAAACATTTTTGACAGATTTTTGAGCACCGTGTACCACATAAAATTGGTTCAAGGTCAGTAAGCCAGTGTTGCCAACTTAGCGACTTTGTCGCTATATTTAGCGAGTTTTCAGACCCCCTTAGCGACTTTTTTTCTAAAAAGCGACTAGCGACAAATCTGGCGACTTTTTCTGGTGTTATTGGAGACTTATTTATGACGACTTTTGACGTGAAAGTGGGTATCGCTCTTACTCTCAACAAGCAGCGGGTGCTGCCGTGGGTACCTCGCCCGTTCCAAAGTGCTCACGGGTGGAGGATAGTCCACCCCCAGCTGCTATCAGGGCAGAAGATGTTCACACCTATGCGTCCGAACTGCAAATGAATCGCACATGAGTGAAGCCGCTGCTCCCGCACTGACTGTAACGCAGTCAGTTCTTCTTTTACTGTTGTGCTGTTTTGTGGATCACGAGGTTTAAAACTACTTATAAACACACACACACAAAGTAACTCCACCAGAGTGCCAATTTCGGGTTACTTTTACCGGTCCATGCCCAGATAAGGAGCAGGGTTGGAATTGTGACATGAAAAAACAATAATTGCTAAAAGAAATTTAATTTGTAGTTCTACATAAATTCTAAATGCATTTAGGACGTTTTTTACTCACTTTATGTCTCTTCCACGATGTTATTTCTCTCTCCAACAACATAGGTTACAATTAGATTAGCATGACCAATTATGCAAATGACGTCATTTAGCGACTTCTAGCGACTTTTAGGACAGCCAATAGCGATTTTCCTTACTGAGGAGTTGGCAACACTGCAGTAAGCACAACCAGAATTCATACACAAGGCGCACTGGATTATAAGGCACACTGATGCACTAATATGAAAGTGAAAGCATACGCCTTATAGTGCGGAAAATACAGTTCTAACTTGAGAGTATGAACCTATGAGGGTGCAGAAAGCCAGTGACTGAGTCCAGAAGAAGGTGCTGTTGCTTATTAGCTGTGGTGCGCCACTCAACATTTTATTCTCTATCAGAAAAAATTGTGCTCCACAAAAGAGTAAACATATAACAGTGCAAACAGTAAAGCTAACATTTAGCTTATCTTATCTTAGCTGCAATAGTTTGCTGGCTATTCAAGTCACTATATGTATACGCTGTAAGTACTTTCTCTAAGACCTTGTCACGGCATAGTAATGCAGTGTATCTGATGTTAACTTTTTTGCTTTCCTAGGTGTGTTGCCATCCTCAGCATCCATCTTTAACTTCCCTGCCCCCACCATCGACTGTGTTGAAGCTCATCGTGTGTGCTCCGTTGAACCCACGTGTGAGGCATTGTATCGAGGCTTGGAGCTATGTGCAGAAGATGCAGCGGTGTCCCCGCAGGCAGAACAGTTGGCATCTGAGTGCGTGGAGAGGCGGGATGCCCTGCTAGCCAAACACCCCTCTCTACTGACCTGCAAATGTCAGCGTGGTTTCCGTAAGGAGGAGCTGTGCCTGCGCATATACTGGAGGGTTCGTCTGCTGCCAGGTCAGTGTGGTTGGATCGTGTTGGAGGTGTATATCTAAAACTCAACTAAACTCTTTGGATAGCATAAGGTTTAAAATTAGGGGTGTGGTCATTTCAGTTTAACAGTATGCTGACTAATCCAGCTGAAGCTGATAGTGTTGAGTGACACTACGTATTTTGGTATCAATAGCAAGTAAATACAGGACCAGTACTGCAGATACCAACAGCGATACTTATAGTTCTAACTGTTTAGAGGAGAAGATTTATGAGATGAATCATTACCACTTAATTTAAAATTTAATGACCTGAATGTATTTTAAATAATTAAAAAAATACCTTTTAGATTTTCAAATATTTTGGGTTTTTCTGAGACCTGGAACTTAAAATTACTTGGTGTTATACCAGTTTAAATGTATTTTATAAATAAGATAAACAGTCAACATAAAGGGTTAATATATTCAGACATGATTCATGGTTCATGTTTGAGGTATATATTTTCAAATCCAATAAATTAATTTTATCAGATTTAATAAAAAATATAAGGAGCAGGCTGAGGTGGTTCGGGTATCTCACAAGGATACCTCCTGGGCTCCTCTTGGGTGAGGTTTTCCGGGCATGTCCCACCGGGAGGAGGCCCTAGGGCAGACCCAAGACACGCTGGAATAAAGTAACTTATTTAACACAATTCAGTGGGCTGAATATATAATTTAAATGTCTCAATATAGGGCACCATGGTGGCGCAGTGTTTAGCACTGTTGCTCACAGCAATGGTCCTGAGTTTGACTCCAGGCCTTTTTACATGTCCTCCCTGTGTTTATGTGGGTTCTCTCCTGGTACTCTGCCTTCCTCCTACAATCCAAAGACATGCAGTTAATGGGGTTAGGCTATTTGGTGATTCTATATTATCCGCTGGGGTAGGCTTCAGCCCCCCCATGACCCTGATAAGGACAAGTGGAAACTAATAGATGGATGGGTCTGTGAATATAGTCTAAATCAGTTATCAGTTTGTTAAAGTAACAGCTGTGATGATCAGTGACACTAAGTAATGTTGAAAGAACAACCTGAATTATGACTAATGTCCCAGCAGTGCCCTCAGATGAGTTAATGGGATGGCTGTAGCTCAGGAGGTAGAGCAGGTCATCTACTGATTGGAAGGTTGGTGGTTTGATCCCTGACTCCCCCAGTCTGCATGGGGGAGCCAGGGATCCTTGGAGAGGGCATTAACCCCAAGTTGCTCTTTGATGCATCCATCGGAATGCTTCAGAAATGAATGTGTGTGAATGTTAGCTAGTAAGCCCTTAAAGCATAGAAGAAAGCGCTTGTGTGAGTATGGCATGTCGTATAAAGCGTGACGAGTGCTCTGGGAGAGTAGAAAAGTGCTATAAAAGCATCAGTTCATTTACTAAGAGATTACTTTGGCCACTATATGAGCTACCTGGACATTCTTTGCATTTCTGGAAGGACTGGAACAGTGGCATCTGTCTCTACGCTGGCGGTCGGGGTCTGTCTGTGGAATTTCTTGTTATTGTTTCTTTTCCTGCTGTTTCCAAGAAAAAGCTTTTATTTTTTTTTCTGGCCTTTCATGTATTTATATAGGTGTGTTTTGTTGCCACAGTAGAGAATTGCCTCTGCATGCACATTACTGTTTGCAACGTTTCCATTCACATTCATAAAATATAGTATGTACTGTTTTGAAGGCTATCTTTATACTTCAAAAGTCTCAAGTACATTTAAAGCTTGTGCTTTATTATTTTTGTATGACATATATATTAGGTATAGTGTAGGCATGCCAGTGTGGAAGGTAAATGTGATATAGAAGCTACTATTATATCACATTCGCTACACATTTTGTATGTAATGATTGAATCTACATTGTAGGTATAATTGTCAGATATTACAGTGTTTTCAATATATCTGTGTGTGAGTCTACTCATCAACATCATGCCTCAAGATTTTATGCTCACTAACCAAATAACAGCACCTACATCCTTGTTTCTGACAGGTTACATAGAAGATCCTTAGCAGCAGTATTTTGACACACTGTTGATACTTTTTTTCCCTTTTTTTACTCAGGCAACCATATGCATCTATGTACTTTCTTATGTTATAAAAAGACTTTCTAGTGACTACTCTATATTCAGTCATTGCTAATTTTAGCCCTTTTATTCAAGACAGAATCTCTTTTTTAACCAACAAACTTGTCATAATCCCAAACCAGTCTTGTGTACAAATGAAGCCCTGCTAAAGACTCCTCAGTCTGAACACACAGACTCACAGGAGTCTATCTTCTATGCTGGTGGGATTTGTGCATCAGTAAGTGAGCTAACACAAGCCTACGGACTCCACCTCCCCTGTGGCCTATTAGTCAGTGGAGCATTAGTGTAATTACACACTCTTCAGTTCCCTATGCTACTAGGCTGCTCTAGCATGTCATTACCATAAATATATAGCCTGGAAAAGGATTTACATACATAAACACTTTACATGCCATTACATTTTTGATTGAACTTGTACTTTGGAATGCGCTTAAATAATTTGCAGGAACAAGCGCCTGGTCCACTAGTCAATTACAGCTCTGCTAATGGCTTTTACAAGTGGACAGAAGTAGCTTTTAATAACATGGGCTCATGATCACTTTGGATGTGGTGTCCTGTCGGTCATATCTTGTCATTTATTTTGTCCATATTGATGAGATTTTATATAACAGAGGGATGTGTTATTGGCTGATTTCAACAAAAGGTTAAGTGTACAATATGATTTGCAATTCAGTACAAGAAACATCAAGAAGACTAAAAGAGCAGTAATATGATGAAGGGAAATGACTTTCATGGTTGTGCTTCTATAGTCATTAAAATAATGGATGCATAGACCACACATGTTGAGTGATGTGTTGTATGTGGGGTAAGATGAGAACACCAATTAGTATATGTGTCAACCCTAAAGGGACATCTGAGGTGTCATCACTAAATTTGCTGGTGACTCTGACTGCTCAGCAGGGCACACAGTCTCCTTGGGCTTGCACAGTTCCTGTAGAGGAACCATTCAAAGTCTCTGAGCTTCCATAGCAAAGTAGGTAGAGGGTCAGCAGATGTGACCACTCAAAACAAACACACAAACAAAAAAACCCAACTAAGAATTTTACCTCAGTTACCTTCAATGTTAATGTCAAATCATTTCAAGTTTCCACAATATTCAAATTTCTCAATGAAAAACCTATGTCCTCATAAAATATTATAATTAATTTGAAATTATATACATCACATTGCATTATATTATATAATCTTTCACCACCTGTTGTGTTTGTGGGCACAGGAATTATTCAATTTTAGTTTTATTTATACAGCGCCAAATCACAACAACAGTCGCCTCAAGGTGCTTTATATTGTAAGGTAGAGCCTACATACAGAGAAAAGCCCAACAACCATAGCACTAGCCCTAGCACTTTGGCGACAGTGGGAAGGAAAAACTCCCTTTTAACAGGAAGAAACCTCCGGCAGAACCAGGCTCAGGGAGGGGCGGGGCCATCTGCGGTTGGGGTGAGAGAAGGAAGACAGATGGAACCAGTCTTTATATTAACAGGCTGAAAATTCACTTTTTATATCTGCTGCTCGGGAAAGTAAATGGACTGGTTCTTATTTAGCGCTTTTCTACTCTATCTGACCACTCAAAGCACTTTACTTGTACATTCACCCATGGATGACTGAAGTATGTCCAAAGTACGCTGTTTCTAAGTGGTTCCTATCTAAGATTCACATGCATTCATACTCTGATGGATGCATTGGAGAGTAGCATGGTTAGTATTTTACTCAAGGACACTTGGCATGTAGACTGGAGCATACTGGGATCGAACCACCAAGCTTACTGAAGACTCATAAATAGAAAAAACAGCATCATTAGCACCTTGATGTCCTCAGACTTAGGTGAAGAGGCAGGTTCTGACCAGGGTGAGAAGCAAAGAGACAGTAGCCCTCTTCCGCCTGAAAAGGCGAAATAGCAAAGGATTGGCGATGTCCCGTCTGCATCAGGATGCAGATGATTGGCTGGGTAGCAAAGTGTCTGTGAGCCCCAGAGCCAGGTCCAAAATGTGGTGAGAAGCATACTGTGGTGATAGGGCTTAGAAGCAGGTCTGCTGATACAGCAACAGGAACATTAGAGGCATGTCTTTGAGTGTGAACTGTGACCAATGAGCAAATTCAGATTTCAATTTCTTTAGCTGCATTTCCATGACAGTTTTTCAGTGACATATGTCCAAAATTGTTGGGGACAAGCATTTCTAGAATTTTGGCTTCTGGTATGTTTCTCAGAGACGTTTCACCTTCATCCTAGAAGGCTCTTAAGTTTTAAAACCAATCGATCATACATGTGAAGCACATAGTCAATCACAATACACAAAAATGAATAATAAACAGAACTATCATCTATCATGTATCATATAGTCTGAATGCTGTCAGGACGCGATAGCACTGTGGCTCTAACAGTCTAACAGATGATCTCTATAGACTCTAGAGTGTTTCTTTAGGCTCTTCTTGTTTGTGTTCTTCTTTTTCTTCAACCAAAATAAAAAAACATCATTTTGGTAAAATTTGGTAAAATTAAACCATGTGGATTGGTCTCCACATGTCCTCTGCCAGAATGTCTGAACAATTACAGTATTTTGATAAACGTTCTTAGAATAAAATAATAAAGTTTCTGTCTTCAATAACATATCCTAGATTTTTTTATCCTCTTTGTTTGTTTTATGATACAAATGTCAGATGTTTGTCTGTCTTACTACACTGTATTGCCAAAAGTATTCGCTCGTCTACCTTTACATGCATATGAACTCAAGTTAACCTATTCTTGGAAAAATAGAAATGGAAAAGTCTCTTTTTTTAAACTTGTTTTATTAGTTTTAATCTTTTAACTTTATGCATCAAGCAAAAATTTAATTATATGCAACATTCTCTGACTGGAAGAAATTAGTTTAACATTTAAACCTATTTTCTGCACATTCCAGCTCATAAAATAAAATATTTTTTGTGTTTACACTCAGTCTTTCAAATACATGCAAGTAAAACACAGCAGAAAATAAATAAAGTCAAAGACTCAGCGGTCCTGTTGCTCTATTTTCACCTGTAAAGCAGGAGTGGGGTAGGCGGAGGTTTACCCTGGTGCAGGTGTGCCGCGGTCAGCGGAAGAATCCGCGAGTTTCTCTGTGAGGTTCCCATTACGTCGTAGCTACTCGGTGCTTGTTGGAAGTTTAGGGGTTTTTTCGCTGTAAAAAGAAGTTTTCTTCCCACGCACAGCGGACACTAATGTTTTTGTCACTTTTTATGGAATCAAACTCAAAGTAAGGTCAGTACTTCCACGCTTTAAACGCTGCACGCTCATACTCTCTCTGCACTCGATATGTGATCCATTGTTGATCTGCACACAGCTGTTGTCACCAACGTCGCACTCGCTTACGTCACTGTCGTGAGACATTCTAGCAAAAAAATCACAGTTTTAGTAACGCAGTAACGCAGCGTTCTTACGGGAAAGTAACAGTAATCTAATTACCTTTTTTGCAATAGTAATCCCTTACTTTACTCGATACTTGAATAAAGTAATCAGATTACAGTAACGCGTTACTGCCCATCTCTGGTTGTGATACCCGTTATCTTCAGCTGGCGTATTAGCTTTTATCAGGCAGGACTCGCATGTCTTGCCTCCTCATGATGATAGCGTGTACTTCTATGCTTGCAGCTCTGTAACAGTCCACCAAAACTTCTTTATAGTTGAGCCCATGGAGCAGACAAGCAATCTGTGCTAGCTGCTTAGGTCTCACCTGGAAACAGTTCTCCACTGCAGTACGGTTCTCTGAAGTGGGACTTAACAAACATTCACACACATTGATAATTGTTATTAATCTCTCTGTTAGAAGTTACCCCTCTTAAACCAAGCGAATTGTGTCAACATCTTCAGAGGCTGTTGTGTTCTTCTTCCCTTTCTTCCTATTCATTTCCCCCCTCACATCCCAGCCAATTGCAACAGGGAGACCAACAGTCTAAAAAAAGCCCTTCAGTGTTACTTAATATGAAACCGTCATTTTGTATTTCTTAAGTGAACCATCTACATCCTCATGAAACATTATAATGCATATTATATGTACATTACATTACACCACATTATGTCATATTGCCTTTCATTGCCTTGTGTTACCATTCTGTTTGTGTCAAATATGTTTATTTCATCCCCATATTATCATCAGGCCTACAATTGTTAATATTAACCAGCTGCCGTGAAAACTAAAATATGAAGTGTCATTCCTGTTAGCGCAGAAAATAGCACCGGTCTATTTTACCCTGCCTGATACAGAGTAAACTGGCTTCCATCCTGGAACCAGGCCTGGTGAGGGAGTACGTGGGAAAGCGCCCAATGGCTCGTTCTTTTGGCCGAGCCTGAAAAGGAAAAATGGGCCTGCCCTCCTGCAGGCTCACAGTAGGTGCCACAGGGGTTGGCTGTGCTGTGCGTTAGACAGCAGTTAAAGGTGGAGGCCCTGGTGGCCCACACCCTGGCTTTTCAGACTTTGCCATGAGGAGTCCATGTGTAGACTCATGACAAACCGGTCAGATCTCTCAGCTGGCTTGAGAATAATGAATTGGATGGATGAGCGTGAGCTGGAGAAGGTGGCTGGAGAGGGCGAGCCTAGGTTTTTCTGCTTCTGTGACCTGGCCCTGGATAAACATCATGGTTATTGGTGTTCCCAGTTCAGTGGGTCTCTTTTTGACTTAGGACTTTTTCTAAGTGAATTTGAAGTAAAGGTGTAGGACTGTGGCACTTCAGTTAAACTGAACAACCTCAGAGTTAACCTAAAACCAATCAGTAAGCATGAGCCAATTTCTTTCCTCGGGAATCTGTAATTAATTAAATCCTTTAATAATGAAAACAGATGTATGAATATAAGTGGGGAATTCCGATATCATTTCCATGCATTACCTAAGTTTTTCTTTTAACCTCCTAAGACCCCAACTCTTCCACAGCAGCATTTTTAATTTCTCTCTGATATTTGGGCTGATTGGGGCCAGATGAATGTAAAAACAAAGAATTACCAGATTTTTACCCAATTTTTGTTTCTAAGAAAAATGAGAGCCACAAATGAGGATATTTGTTTAAAATTTTGATAGAACAGTGGTAGTATAATGTCCTCGTAAGTGGACATCAGGCCCTTGTAGAGCAAAATTGAGTATTTGGGTCTAAATAAACAAAAATGTGATGTCCACATATGTGGACGCCAGGTCCTAGGAGGTTAAATATGTTTGCCTTATCATAAACAGACAGATAGGTTTGCTAATGTTTGTGTGTTCCTTTGTCCCCAGGGGAGGAGGAGCTGGAAACATCTCCATATGACGACATGCTTGTGGATACACACATGGCTTCGTTAGTGGCAGGTAAAACACACACTGATAAGCACATGGTCACTTGTGCAGTCTTTTTTTCATGATTAATCACATTGAGTTTGTGGACTTGCACATTGAGTTTTTAATGACATAGATGTCTATAGCAGTGAAGCAGATCAATGGCTCACTAAGCCTCAGAGATGTTGTTAAGTATATATCAATCAATATCATGTAGTGACACTGATCTTTTACTGTTTTTTTCTAATCTCTGCTTTTCTAAGTCCATTTACATCAACAATATTTTCACCATCAGGGTTTTCAGTGTGCACTCACATTAGTGGTGTTAGGTCGGTCTCCTTTGTTCAGCTGCATATTTTCTTTTATCCAGAAATGTCCCAGCATCTACTTATCTGAATGGAACAGACATGCAACAGGCATTTATTGTTATGAAAAACATATCCTAAAAAAACTGGTGATTACTTTTGGACATATCCAAAAGAGCATAAACTGTCAAATGTCTCAAGCTAATAGGTAGCTATAACACTGATAAGAAACATACTCAAGGTTCCCAGGGGAGGAATCCCAGCCTACTCCGGGTAAAATAAGTATTGAACATGTTCCAAGTAAATATATTTCTAAAGGTGCTATGAAATCTGATGTTGGTAACAGCCCATCCAATCCACACATTCAAAGAAATCAAACCATAGAGGTCCATAAATTAAATGAAGTGCTATAGTGAGAAATGAACATGCTTACGGAGAGTTGTTTAATACTCCGTACAAAAGCCTTTATTGGTAATCAATTCAAGACGCCTTTTATATGGGGAAACTAGGTGCAAACATTGCTCAGGTCTGAATTTGGCCCATTCTTCCACCTTAACAGTCTCCAAAGCCTGAAAGTTCGGTGGGTCTCTTCTATGACCTCAGTTCTTCAGTTCTTTCCATAGATTTTGAATTGGATTCAGGTCATATGTTTGGCTGGGCCATTCTAGGAGCTTTATCTTCTTTCTCTGAAACCAATTGAAACCACATTTTTCATCTTCATGGTAGATGGCATCAGATTTTTTATCAAGAATGTCTTGGTACATTTTTACATTCATCTTTCCTTCACTTATATGAATGTCAGGTGGTGGAAAACAGCCCCACACTTTGATGTACCTACTTCCAAACATCACTGTTCATATGGTGTTATAAAGTGCCTTTTGACCAGCAAGTGCCTCAGATATGGTGTATTTTATGGCATTCAAAGAGTTAAATTTAAAACTTAAAAAAAGGTTCAATATGCTTTTTTCAGAAAGTGAATCTTGTGTGGTGACACCCTGGAGGTTTACCTGTTTTCTTTGAGATTATTGGACCTGCCGATTCCAAGTCTTTCTGTAGCTTTCTACAAGTGGTCCTTGGATCTTGGACAACTCTTCTGATAATTCTTTTCTCTCTGTCTGAAATCTTGCTATGAGCGCCAGGTTGTGGTTGGTTTTTGGTGAAATTATGTTCTTTCCACATCTGGATTATGGCCCCAAGGATGCTTACTGGAAGCTTCATTTGTTTAGAAATTATTTTATAACCAATGCCATCAGTATATTTTAGAACGATAAGGTTGTGAAGGTCTTGAAATCAATCAGTCTTGAAATTTTTCTGTTTTTTCTGTTTTCTTTGTGTTAGCGTAGGTCTTTATTTACTTTGTTATCGACATCTGATGAGAATTTCATGTCAGTAGTATCGTTAGAAATATATTATTAACTATATTATGTTATTTATCTACTTATTTTACCTGCTGTAGATTCAGAGGGTCATGTTTTAAAGAGTACTAGTACTCGGTGAGAAGAATTACTGTGATTAATTTTACACCTTTAAAAAAAAAAACTGTATCCCATAATTTACAGCATAGGACAATCTTATATACATGACAAATGAGTAATACTTACCCCACATTTGGGAAATTCTTTTGCTACAGTAGTTGTAACCACACCAACTTACACAGAACACATTACACATCGTTTAGCTGCACACACTGAAGCACCTGCTTATCCCCTTTTGTGTACAGCCTCTCTGTTGTTCTTCCAGTTCAGCCTGTGGATACAAGCTGTTTGTTTGTGACAGAGCTTAAGATAAACTTTATTGTTCAACTTGCCATGTAGATCAATAAGAGACCAAACCGCTACTCCTGAATGATTGATGTCGTTCACATTCTCACTTCACAAAATCTTTCCCCAGATTTCCCCCAAATATATTTATTTCTCATCTGAACTAGCTAAATTAAATTTCACTCATCACAAAAATGAACTTTGGGCCAGTTTTCCTCCATAAAAACAACATACTACTTAGAAATTTCTGCAGCGACCGAGCATCACAAAAGAGAAACAAAAGGTTAGACTGAAATGTTGTAAATGTTCCCAAGCAGCATTACGCTGCATGCTGATATAGACCCATTCAAAAGTCCACCTGCAGTGTTACACAGACAGTGGGTAATCAGACTGTCATCCATTTGTCTTATTTGGATATCCTATATCCAAACCAAAAATGTTACCAGAAAATTGAAGAACTTTGGATCACAGGCAAGATTCGTGCCAATAACAGATGTTATAGTGTTCTCTAGCTGTAAATGTAATTTTATTTTTATTTATTAATTTTAGATACCACTTCATTCATTTGAATCAAATTAGAAAAACTTTAATGTAGGAAAGTAATAAGTATTATTTATATGGTATGAGTATATATATAGGGTATTATCATTTATTTTGTGTATATGCAGGAGTTAAAATAACCCAGAATGATCTAGATTGGGATTCAGGCACCTTCATTTAATGAGCAATTAAATCTGACTGGCAGTTTAATACAAAATATTGTCAAGCAATTTTAATTTTTATGAGCTCCATTCTCATTTTCTTTGTCTCTGATACCACAGAGACAGTTAAGCCACCACACGATCCTGCCTGCAATTGTGTTTTCATCACATATGATATGTTCAGATATGAAGTTGTGCTTAAGGTATTTCAGCATCTAGATAGTTTTACAGAAGTGGAGCATATTCACAGTAACCTTTAAACAAATTAATGTGTGAATTCTTTGAAGATTATTTTCTAAGTTAAAGACTGCTCAGCAAGTTTGATAAGCTAAACATTTGAAGCTTACATATAATGTTCTAATCTATCCAAGGTTTTAAATCGGATATTGGATATGTACATGAGATGTTGCTGAATTTATCTGGATGTTTCTTATTCTAAAATGTCTTCAAAAGCACATTAGATGAGAATAATTTAAGGTTTATATTAGACAACAGTTATATTACAAACTGGGCAGTTTGCTGTACTGAAATTGTAGTATGTTTAACTGGTGAAGAGCAGAATGTGGTACCCCTGGTCGCTTCTAGCTTAGCTCCTGACAAACTTGCTGCAGATGGGTTCCCCCATCTGCTAAATCTCAGAATTCAAGACATGGTGAAGACACATTGAAACACCACGACTCGGATGAACTCGGATCAACTGGTTTTCCATTACAACCCAGAGTGAATGCTTGTTGTCATAGCCTGGGTGCCTCGTGATTTAATTAATATGCAACACGAACGGTACAACAAAGGTGGCACGAATGAGGCAAGAATGTGCCTGCTGCTTGTTCTGTGGCTTTTCCTCCAATTCCTCAGGTTATCACTGCGATTTTTCTGTAGCCATTTCCCTCGTTCCCAGGTTTCAAAAATGGCATTTTTAATTATTGTGAACGAGACGCTCTCATGACTCATCGAGTGACCAGGAAATCGTTGGCATGCAGCGTGGCCATGTCACATTTTAGTTCCTGGTTGGATTGCTTGGAACCCCGGCCGAGCAGGTACTAAAAATGTACCTGGTACCAGGTAATATGACATAAAGGAAAACCCTGGCGAGTCAATCTGAGTAGTTACGAATGGAAAAGGGGCTTAACTGCAAGTTTTTGGACAGTGGGAGGAAGCCGGAGTACCCGGAGAGAACCCACGCAATCACAGGGAGAACATGCAAACTCCACACAGAAAGGCGAACACTGAATATGGGGCCTTCTTACTGTGAGGCAACAGTGTGCCACAGTGCTTTCTATTATTATTATTATTATTATTATTATTATTATTATTATTATTATTATTATTATTATTATTAAAGTCTTGAACACATGAAGAAAGGGAGGTATAAAAAGGCATGGAAAGTCATGACACAGCTGAAATCTGTCAGCAAACAGAGAACAAAACAATGGCTCTCTCAAGGCCTACAGAAGGACTTCTAAACTCCTGAAGGTTCCAGCGAGCAGTCTTGGACCATATCCCAGACGTGGAAAGAACATAATTTCACCATAAACTGGTCACAACCAGTAGCCAAGGTTTTAGACAGAAGAGTGAAAAGAATTATCAAAAGAATTGTTCACGAGCCAAGGACCACTTGTGGAGAGGTACAGAAAAATCTGGAATCACAGTTACAATTGTTTTAAAGAAAACAATAAGTAATGTATTCAACTGCCATGGCCTGGATGCACACTTACCATGCAAAATTCCATTCATTCATTCATTTCATTCCTGAGCAATGAAAACACTTTCACTTTGAAAATTGATAACGTGTTCAATATGCATTTTACCCACTGTATTATTTCATTTTGTAATGTCAATCTAAAACTGCTATTTTTTTCCTTTCCCCACTTTACTTTTAAGTGTTTTACCATCACATATGATTAAGCAAAAGCAACATGCATGCACCAGTTGCTGCTATTAACAAGCCTGGCCAATGCAGACATGCTGACTGTTTCAATGGGGAACCGCCTATAAAATTCAGCTCAGTAGCACACAAAACTTTGAGAATGTCTGAGAATGGCCTAAATGTGTGATCACTAATGGCCGGGCTTGGATTATAGTTTCAGGTAATGGTTTTGCTTCTGCACTGAATCAAGCTTGTTAAAACTGTGCAGGACTCTGGTATTTGTTCTCTAATAGAAATGATATAGCCTTCATGTTTTTGCAAAAAGTGCTTGGAAGCCAGATCCAATTACATGCTGATTTAAAATCCCAGGTATGAACTGATGTGTTGAGGAATGTAGTCAAAGAGTATGCTAATCCTAGGAATGAATATCTTCTCTTGGTCTATTCTTCTGACACCCCCCCAGCCTCATCTTTCATGCAACTGGGTGGTGAGAACCAGTGCTTGAAGGCAGCACAAGACTGTGGCTTGTACGAAAAGTGTGGTAACCTACGATCAGAATACGTGCTAGCCTGCACAAAGCCGATGCCTGGTACCAACAGATGTAACCAACACAAATGCCACCGATCATTACGTCGCTTTCTGGAGCGGGTGCCAGAAGAGTACAGCCTGGGTGTCCTGTTCTGCCGCTGCACTGATACCTTGTGTGGTGAGAGGAGAAGGAAAACCATTGTACCCTCCTGCTCCTACCACGACAAAGAAGGTCTGCAACTGAACTGCCTCCACCAGCAAAGCTTCTGTCGCCGAGACGACCTTTGCAGGTTAGACATAAAGTGTAGAGGCAGATGAACAGTACTGTGAGCCACCCCTACTTTCTTTATATTTTACTTTCAGTGAGCCAGAATATTTTGTAATTTTTAAAGTGCTCTTGAGCAATATTTCCCCAGGCTTTCTGAAGCTTTTCTTTGGACATCCATTGATGTATTTGCATATTTCTGTCCAGTACTTGAACCTGACCATTTTCAGAGGAAAGTATTTTTCAGTTTTTGCCACTTAATGCTAACCTCTGTATTTTTCAAACAAAAACAGTCACCAAAGAAAAGGAACGAGCCAGTGATGTCTATACATAACAAATGATTACCAAAGAAACATTTTAGTTAGTGTCTTTGAGCACTTCAATACATTTCTTCACCAACTAAATGATTCCCAAAGCGCTATTAGCCCAAAACTCAGTGTATCTTAGCACAGTGTGCAGATTGACCTTGATAAAATCTGAGGAACCTTGACAAGTAGAGGACAAAAACAGCAGCAGATGTAAAACAACCTATCTAGAGTAGATAGGCAGTATATGAAATGTCCTTAGGAAAAAAAAAAGGGGGGGAGGGAATCCTGCAAAGATCTGACATAGGACCTGAGAGATGCATCTGGGTCTTAAGTTGATCTGTCTACTCTCGGATCCAACCTCGTCAGTAATGCTCTCAGTGGAAGAGTTGCAGTTAATAAGCCATTCTTAAGGAAAGAAACCCAAAAGAAATACCAAATTACATACGATTTCAACGTAAAGAGTTAAACCAAAAAACAAAAACTTGGGATTGAAGACCTGTTGCCAATTTTATCAGTATATCAGTATGAAGTATATGAAGTAGGTCAGGAGAGGTTTAACAGTGAGCGCTTACAGTTATCTGTAAAACTTGATGGAGGCTTTGTTTGGGGCTATATTTCAGCCAATGAAATATTTTGCTTCCAGTGCCAAACACTTTATTCAGCAATTGACTCTTGTTTCATTTTGTTTAATGGTTTGGATAATTTAAATCTGAAGGAGCAAGACATACTAGCAGTTTAACAAATTATGATCCCCGTGTCCTCCTTCTATAAATTGACTCCTTATTGCAATAGAGTGGTTGGTGTGTCCCATTGATCCCAGGAGTTATGTTGTCAGGGCCCCTGGTAGGGTCTCCGTGGCAGATCCTGGGTGAGCAGTGATTCATACAATCTCTATGCAGCATAACAATTCAAGGGTTCTGCAAACTTTGTCCAGAATGGGGTGGCAGTCATAGGTGGTGATGTTGGTGCTTCAATCCCCAGCTTCCAAAACTGACTTGTGTTACACGGAATGCCATCTCGCTGGTGGGGAAGGAGGCTGAGCGAGGTTTGGAGAAATCAATTAGATATAGTCTGGCTTACCTGATCTGGAACCAGTTTTCTGGAGAGGGGTTGGACTCTGTTCCACTCTGGAGTTACCCTTAGCGAGAGGTGGCAGGCAGCAGTGGGTATACTTGTATGTATAAAGACAAGTGGGTTGCTTTGGGTCTGGGAACAGGTCTTGTCTGTCATCTTCATCCAGTCACTGAAGTTAGGGTTCTAGTAGAGCAGAACAGCTGCTGATTTTGTAATCGTATCATCAGATCTGCCGCCGCATGTTTTGGATACTTGGGTGAAGAGAGGTGCTGAGCTGTCAACTGATCACTACCTGATAGTGAGTTGGATCAGGTGGTGGGAGGAAATGTTGGACAGACCTGGTGTACCAGTGCACTGGGAATGTCTGCCACAGTCATCAAGATCTTCTGTTTTCATCTCTGGCTTCAATTGCATTTCAAGGGAGGCCGGCAACATTAAGTCTGAGTGGACCATGTTCTGCACCTCCACTGCTAAGGCTGCTGCAAACAGCTGCAACTGAAAGATTGTTGGTTGTTAGTGTCTGTGACAGCAATCCCAGAACCAGATGGTCGATATCAGAGGTGAAGGGAGCCATCAGGTTGAAGGAATTTTATTGGGCTTAAAGACTGTGACTGTGTTAGACTGTGGGACTCCAGTGGTAGCTGACAGGTACTGGCAGGCCAACGGAGTGCGGCACTGATGCAGAGGAGGAGGGGGACAACTCGCTAATCACTGGGGTGAAGTCACTCACGTAGTGAGGGTGAGGAGCTCAGTCATTCAAGAGGGACTGAGTAGCTGCTGCTCGTCTACGCAGTTGAGGTGATTCAGGAATCTAACTAAAATGTCTTCTGTACACCTTCTAGGTGAGGTGTTCTGGGCATGTTGCACCAGGAGGGGGGCCCAGGACAGACCCAAGACTTCCTGGAGAGATATTATCTCTCAGCTGTCTTGAGAATGTCCGTATTACCTGAAAAGGGTGGCTGGGTGAGGGATGTCATGGCTTCTGGTCAGAGGGCCCGGTGGCGCCAGTGTCCGGCAGCCTCGCCTCTGTCAGTGCGCCCCAGGGCAGCTGTGGCTACAATGTAGCTGCCATCACCAGTGTGTGAATGTGGATGACTGAATGTAGTGTGAAGCGCTTTGGGGTCCTTAGGGACTAGAAAAGCGCTATACAAATACAGGCCATTTACCATTTACCATTTCTGTGCTGAGACTGCTGCCTGAACTCAGATAAGCATCAGGAAATGGATGGCTGATGGATGGAACAAACAGGGGCCTCAGTAGCATGTGAAAAAACCATAGACAATGACAACAGCCTGGCACTTCTAATGCTCAACTCCTCCTGGTCCCCAACTTGGTTACACATGGTTCTGTTTGAAGACATGTGAAGCTAGAGAGACCAACACCCATAGTGAATTGTCTTCCAGGGGCCAGAGCAGGGGACATTAAGGGAAATTTAAAACTGCTGGCTGAGGGTAAAATTAAATTCCAGAAAATTATAATTCATGTCCGCAGTAATGACACCTGGTCATGTCAATCAAAGTTGACTGAAATTAATCTTGGATCGTGTGTAACTTTAGCAAAACAATTTCAGACACTGTAGTTTTCTTATGCGTACCTTATGCTGTCCAATAACGACTGACACATTTAGCTGCATGTTCTCCTTATATTGCTGGATGTCTGAGTGGTGTTCAAAAAAGGATGTGGGCATTATAGCTAATTGGTAAACTTTCTGGGGGAAATCTGGTCTGTTTAGGAGAGATGGCATCCATCCACTTTGGAGCAACTTGCATTTCTAGGAAGATTAAATGTAATTGTCACAGGACGGGGGTGCAGAAGTTTTGCACTCCAGCTTGTTAATCAAGCAAAGACCCAGACAGTTTACATTCATTCATTTATTCCTAATGTTTAGCCTTGTCCACCCTAGCTGGAAAACTTAAAAAGCAATTTCATTTGTTGTCACCACCTGAGCCTTATTATTGCGGGCGATCGTGGCTCAAGAGTTGGGAGTTCGCCTTGTAATCGGAAGGTTGCCGGTTCGAGCCCCGGCTTGGACAGTCTCGGTCGTTGTGTCCTTGGG